CTGTTTCCGAAAGTTCAAACACGAAGAAGGGATTACGCAAATATACGAGCCTCTATGATTAGATAGCGGATCGGCCATACCGACGTAGTCGGCACTAGACGACGCGTGGTGTATATTTACTGCCGCTATCGCATAAAACTGGCCACTCCGAACTGGCTCGGATATTTTATCACGATTAATTCTTCCTTTCGTGGTTTTCTGAGCCGATAAGGGGGAGGAGGCTGCTATCGGCAAACGGAATCGCGAATTTCGAGGAAACTTTTCCACTTTTGCCTCGCGTTCCAGCGTCACGTGGGAACCTAAGCCGCGTCGGGCGAACTGTGCCCTCCCATTTTTCAGCGTTTCACACGCGTTCGCTGCAATTAGACTGCGGTCATACTCGTGAAAATTTCCCAAGGTCTAAAGTGTAAAGTTCGATAGATGTACATTTAGGTGTACAGTTCGACAAGAATTTCGTAGAAGGAAAACGAACGTTGGTTTAATTGAACAAATTGTTTCACTCTCGAAGTTCCATTGTTCTAATTTCATCACGATGCTTCGTGCAACGTGATCGAATGAAATATAAATCATTCAAATATTGTTGAAGCGGAAACTGTTGAAGTGAAAATTGTTGAAGGATAATAAAGTACAGAAGTTTAACGAATGCGAGTACAGTTTAATAACAATCCTTGCAAAGAGAACAAACATCGGACGAGTCGAACAAGTTATTGCAATCCTAAATTTCCATCCGAGGTGTTCGAGTAAGCTATAAATAAATATCCGTTGGATAATCCATGGAAGTAAAAACAATTGGCGAACAATAAAGTACAAAGTTCAATGAATGTATAATACAGTTCGGCAACAATTCTTGTAAGAAGAATCAACACTGGATAAATTCAGTTGCGGTTTTAATGTTCAATTGCTCCGACTTTATAAAAGTTCCTCTTGTCGGCGAGATAACCCACGGAACAGTGAATGCTCGACACTGTTATAAATACACACGGGAAATGAAACATGTGCGCGTCAAAAAATTTAGTAAAGTTCGAGCTCGATGAAGATACAGTTTCCCCGATCCATCTTTCGACCCCATTTCGTTCGTCACGGTAACTCAACTCCGGCGATCATTTTCCCACGGAGTTTCAGGGCGCATGACTTACGGGGGACACGATAAGCATTGTCTGGCAGCGAGGGTTAGGAGGGGGAGAACGGCAAAAAAGAAAGATTGGGGTGCGGGAGGGGGAGAGGAAAAACTGGAAAAATTGAATCGGTGATCTCATACGGGGAAATCCCGTGGTCTGAACTCGGGAACACTGCCAAATGGGTCAGAGCTCGTATTGAGCTGGTACAGCAGCTACAGCGTTGTACTGCTGACCTCAGCCCCCCTCGGGTCCCCCTCTCTCCACCCACTCGTCCGTCCGACCCCTGTGCCCCCCGGCCCCTAGATCCGGCGATCTAGAGCGATTCTAGAGCGAGGCCAGCGACGGAGAGCAACTATTCTCTCGCGCTGCTCATCTTATGTCACTCGTTTCTCGCTTCTATTGTTCCGCGAGCGTCGTCCGCCATCGGCTCTGCTTGCTCAAACTAATTCAATGAGAATTAACTCGGGGATGTTTAAGAGCGCCTTCTGCTCTGCAATGGGGTTGCTGGAGCATTCCTGACATACTTTTTGGGGCCATTTTGTGCAATAATTTACAGTATTTTTTTTCATTCGATTTCTGTTTTATGTTTAACATTTTTTATATTTGAAGCTTGTCGATTAATCAGTTCGCAATCTCTTTGAAAAGTGTGCGAGCTACTGCAATTGTACTGTATATGTTTGATTTTATTTATATTCCGTTTAAATATAACACTTTTATGAAATATGTAATTTAACAGAGAATATCCATCTTACCAGTTAGTAACATTTTGCGTTATGACGAGTACGCTCGTCAAGGACAGCTAATTGGTTAATTGACGACATTATTCGAGGCCATTTTGGTCCAGAATTTCACACACATTCAGCTAAACAGCTCCTTGTAATCTGTTTAAATAGGAGGTTATTCTGCTAGAATTAACCCTCTAACCGCGCGAGAGATTTTGATTTTTCAGTATGAAATCGCGAGATAGTTTTATTTGTTATACAGATACGTTCTAAGAATTAGATTAAAAAGCGTATAAAAAAAGAAACGAAGACAAAATATACAGAAATTAAAAAATTCCTTTTTAGTTTCTCTTTGCTAAATTTGACAAAATATTTAGAACGCCAATTCTACGTTGCCCGTGGTTGGAGGATTAATTTACCTAAGCATCCTGTCTGTACAATTATCGAAAGAGTGCAATTTTCACAACTATATAATTGACGATGTTTCTGATCATTCTCAGCTTGATTTATAAATTTTTCTAAACATGTTTTTGAAGATATTTCTTACAGGCCGATAGATCTAGGAAGACTAATAAGTCATTCTTGTTTTGCCCGTGGTTGGAGGATTAATTTACCTAAGCAGCCTGTCTGTACAATTATCGAAAGAGTGCAATTTTCACAACTATATAATTGACGATGTTTCTGATCATTCTCAGCTTGATTTATAAATTTTTCTAAACATGTTTTTGAAGATATTTCTTACAGGCCGATAGATCTAGGAAGACTAATAAGTCATTCTTGTTTTGCCCGTGGTTGGAGGATTAATTTACCTAAGCAGCCTGTCTGTACAATTATCGAAAGAGTGCAATTTTCACAACTATATAATTAACGATGTTTCTGATCATTCTCAGCTTCATTTATAAATTTTTCAAAACATGTCTTTGAAGATATTTCTTACAGGCCGATAGATCTAGGAAGACTAATAAGTCATTCTTGTTTTGCCCGTGGTTGGAGGATTAATTTACCTAAGCAGCCTGTCTGTACAATTATCGAAAGAGTGCAATTTTCACAACTATATAATTAACGATGTTTCTGATCATTCTCAGCTTCATTTATAAATTTTTCAAAACATGTCTTTGAAGATATTTCTTACAGGCCGATAGATCTAGGAAGACTAATAAGTCATTCTTGTTTTGCCCGTGGTTGGAGGATTAATTTACCTAAGCAGCCTGTCTGTACAATTATCGAAAGAGTGCAATTTCCACAACTATATAATTAACGATGTTTCTGATCATTCTCAGCTTCATTTATAAATTTTTCAAAACATGTCTTTGAAGATACTTCTTACAGGCCGATAGATCTAGGAAGACTAATAAGTCATTCTTGTTTTGCCCGTGGTTGGAGGATTAATTTACCTAAGCAGCCTGTCTGTACAATTATCGAAAGAGTGCAATTTCCACAACTATATAATTAACGATGTTTCTGATCATTCTCAGCTTCATTTATAAATTTTTCAAAACATGTCTTTGAAGATACTTCTTACAGGCCGATAGATCTAGGAAGACTAATAAGTCATTCTTGTTTTGCCTGTGGTTGGAGGATTAATTTACCTAAGCATCCTGTCTGTACAATTATCGAAAGAGCGCAACTTTCACAACTATATAATTGACGATGTTTCTGATCATTCTCAGCTTGATTTATAAATTTTTCTAAACATGTTTTTGAAGATATTTCTTACAGGCCGATAGATCTAGGAAGACTAATAAGTCATTCTTGTTTTGCCCGTGGTTGGAGGATTAATTTACCTAAGCAGCCTGTCTGTACAATTATCGAAAGAGTGCAATTTTCACAACTATATAATTGACGATGTTTCTGATCATTCTCAGCTTGATTTATAAATTTTTCTAAACATGTTTTTGAAGATACTTCTTACAGGCCGATAGATCTAGGAAGATTAATAAATCATTCTTGTTTTGCCCGTGGTTGGAGGATTAATTTACCTAAGCAGCCTGTCTATACAATTATCGAAGGAGTGCAATTTCCACAACTATATAATTGACGATGTTTCTGATCATTCTCAGCTCGTAAATTTTTCAAAACATGTCTTTGAAGATACTTCTTACAGGCCGATAGATCTAGGAAGACTAATAAGTCATTCTTGTTGTTTTCAGTGCGACATTTTATTCGATTGCCGAAAGTTGAGTAATTAGGTTCAAATATAGCGAGGCAAAGTAACCGCAGTCCGAAGGTTAATGCAGAAATTCGGTTTGAGTTCAGTGTTGACAGGAGCAGTTTGGCATCGGCGACGTTAGATGTATAATTGTGCAACTATAGCAATCGCGTGTGCGGTCTCGCGCCGAGTTGCTATAGCGGCGTCGTTACGTCCGCTTCGATGTCCTTACTTCTATGCACGCTTTCGCAACGGAACAAATGGCAATTATCGGAGTGCACACACACTCGAAGTTAACGATACACGGTGATATACGCGTTCGCGACGGCTCCGAAATGAAATGAGCCGAACGGGGCGCATGCGCGACAGGAAGATAACAACGGACCGACCGCTACGGGTCCCGTAGCACGTTTTGAGGAGCATGACGAAACAGAGGCCGAAATGTCACACTCCAGTGGCCAATTTAGCAACAATCGTGCGCGAAAGTTTGCTTACAGATGAGGATGATTACGGCTAAGCCGCAGATTATACTCGTTTTTGCATCACCGAATACCTCAAATATTTGATAACACTGTTGACTTATTCTTAACACGACTACTGGCGGCAATCAATTTATAGTTCAAACATGAATGTTCATGAAAACGGGAAATTACCTTAGAAAATTCCAGAGAACATGATGGAGTCTTTTTTACAGTTCGTTCTCCGGTCCATCAAGCTTCACCTAATCGTGAGAAATCTCACAGGACACAAAGATCACGAGGTATTTTCTTGCGCGCACTGTATTTCATCGCGAAGCAAAGAATAATTAAGCAACAAATACAATGTGTCTTCGTTTCCTTTTCCCACGAAGAAAACTTTATGCGATGGTTCGCCATGGCCGGAAAGCACGTATTACTTGAAATTGGAGTTTCCGTTTTAATTGAAGGCGGTTCCGGATCCGAGAACCGATAGAGCTTCTCTTTATGGTCCCGCTGGGTTCACTATGTCACGGTATCGTTGCCAGCAACTATTAGATTGGCCGGCTCACGCGAATATATTCGTTCGATTCGAGCACTCGAGCAACCGGGATCGGCCGCTGGTAATCCCTCTTTATTATCGCCATCAACAATTCAGCTTCGTTAGCCGAAGGATCTCCGCAGGAGCGCGCCGCAAAAGAGGTAATATGAATAATATTTCTTGATAGAAGCTAATGGCACCGCGGGGACATCAATCTTGCTGTTTAATTTATCAACGGTGTCTGTTGTAATTGCGCGGGTTTCGGCGTGAAAAGCTGCATAGTAATGTAGGTCATGGCATTGTTTCTTCCAACGTCCGCAGCCTTTTTCGCGCTCGCGCGTCCGCCGAGTATAATTGCCGTTCGTGGCGACAAAGTACCGTGGACGGATCGAGCGAAATTTCATTAACTTTTCATTCGAGGGGAAGAACAAAAATATAATCCGTCGTGCGTTGCCGTCTGAATGAATAACCTTTCGGTTATCCCGATTTGGATTCGTCGTTTCATTCCTGTCGCAGCGTTTGCATTATGCAATCAAGTGCAGCGTATGATATTAGCAGATTCAAGTCCCAATTTTTCTAACGTTACAAATATATAATATAACAACATCGAGGGAAAACTAGGTTAAATAGAAAAATAAAGGTTAGGTTCGATAAAAACTAGAAAAATACGCGTGCAATTGTCGACTTTCCTGCGAATTCTATCAACGAATGAGTCTTTGTAGAGCGATTTATAGTCAAATAAATTACTTAGAGAACGGAATGCGAAGTTAATCACGATACACAGTTTTTCTATGTTCTTGTATAAAATAGGCGTGGCTCTATCTGAATGGGCGAGACTTTTGGCTCCTAATTTGAACAAAGCCTTATGGAGTACTCAATGCAAAGCCTTATGCAGTACTTTTGCCTCGCCTAAAACGATCAAGAACAAGCTAAATCGCGCTAGATTCTATCACAAAATGCTATCCGTCTCACTTCCTCCAGCTTCAGTGGGCGTGGCTTTTTGGCTCCTCGTTTCAAGAGAAATCTGCAGAGCAATTTTAGCATCGCTTGATCTAGAACGATCTAGGACAAGCTAAACCGCTTTAAATCCTACCGGAGCGCTGACAAAAACCAGCCATCTCTTTTCCTCAGCGTGTAGGTTGTTCTGAGTGGGCGTGGTCTTCCGGCTCCGCATTTCGTCAGAGCCACGGCAATACCCCAAAGAGCAACCTATTTCCCAAGCATCGTTTACAGCAACGAGGCTTGGGTCTCTCGTCTCCTGATTTTGACACTGGGACCAGTTCTCTTTCGTGTTACGGAGTTCGATAAGGGGACGCTGCAACAAGGCCCAAAGATTCGGCAGAGACAAAAATGTCAGGCAGATCGAGGTGAAAACAGAAACGCGGGGTGATAAGAGAGGCAAAGGGCCGTTCGACAGTTTATCGAAGCACGTGGCGTGGGACACGTGCCTAAAGGTCGTCGCCCGTCTATACCGGATTTTGTTTGATCTCCCTCTCCCATTACCGCACTCTTCGCTCCTACTCGACCGGCTAATCATCCGACCCCTTATCCTAATCCCAGTCTGGCTTGACCAACTAATAGAAAAACACACTCGCCCAGAGATTTATTGGGAAAGCATGCTTGTAACGATGTTCCTGTAAAATACGGTTTCACATTAATTACACGGTGAAGCGAGCGTAAACAAACGTCGCGACAGAAATTAGGATCGAGCGTGGCCGGAACATGATCCAACAGACTTTTTCTCGCTCGAGTGACAGATGAAAAATTACTGGCGCGATTGCAAAATGCGCTTAATCGATATTTAATCTCTGCACCTTGCCCGCAGCTTTCACCTTTATTAATTCGTTCCCGGTGTTGCAATTCTTTTTTTACGCAACAACACGGGTTTCTGGATTACTCTCGGCGTTAGTCCCGTTCAACCGGGGGGTTAACCGAGAGCGCGCATAAACGTCGTTGAAACCGCAAACGCGAAAGCAAAGTCTGTCCGTCGAAAGTCGATGGCCGGGCAATAAAAAGCAGGCGTTTAGGGAGCCGTTTTAGAATCTTAGCGTGGTTTAATGGGCCCTTCAGTCGATCCCACCGCCATAAATTATGGCTTCAAAACGGCGCCCGTGATTCGTGGCTTGCGGAAATACTCGGGAAACTCCAACTTAATGTCACGGCAAGGTATAATAGAAATTTTAACATTGTTCCTTACTCGCGTCCTTCCAAATAATCCGTACAATCCCATGAATCACTATTATCGATCCCGTGGCGCGTTTAACCCTATTGCACGTCTCCGGTAATTGCTGCATTAATATTCTCCGAATTTAAATTGGATCGAAGCTGACATTCAATTAAAAACTAAGATTGGTTACTCGATCGCGGTATATTCTGCTTAAACTGGCGGCGCTGAAGCTATTTATGTGAACAGGCTTAGAACGCTCACGGGATATTTGCAGCGTTTGTAATTAAAAGAGACGGCATTCGAGAAATTATTGTGTGGATACGGCGCGGTCTTGCGCGCGACGAAGAAAACAATTGAGGGATGAAGTACGTATTACGACCGAAGGCGATGATCTAGGAAAGGTCGGCATCGTTTTCGGCCATCCTCGCGATCAAGCCGGTGTCGTTATGTAAGCACCGACGGTAATTTACGATATGGACGAAGTAATTCTTGACGGAACGGTGAACCGGCTGGTGAGTTACGCCGAGGCTGGAACACTGCAATCCCCACGTGAACCAACCGCTATTAATAGGAACCAGCCGCACCTATTTATCTTGCATAGGAGAGTCAAGTGCAGCTGGCTGGCCAGCAACTATAATACCGAGCCGACAAACAACCTCTCGATCAACGATTCAGCGTTGCAATCCTGCGACCACTGTTCCCACCATTTTTCGAACGCAGCTCTTTAAACCGACCCGTGTTTCCCGCTCTCGTCGGCTTTGCTCCCGCAACACGGTGTCGCAGCACGATTGTCGTACAGGCAAATTTTGTTTTGTTCCAATTTACGAGATAAAGAAGAACGGCTCGGTTTCTACCGGAGTCAAATGTTTCGAAATTCTGTACACATTTCAATACAATGTTGTACACATTTCACGTCTAGCTACATTTTAAGATAACGCGGCGTAATTTTTATCGAGGATATTATTTTTCATGGCTGTGTGATTTCGTGATCGTTGTATTAATTCGGAAGAAGTGGAAACACAATCTTAATCAATATAAAGACTGTTATCTCGGCAACTTGAATAACGCAGATAACAATTAATTAACGATCGTACGAGGCAGGGATACGGTAGAGTTGACATTACGATATGGAATAAAATGTGAGTGAAATTTTAAGAAGACATTATTATTGAGATGTCGTGGCGGGGCCATGAAAAATGACATCCTGGTACAGAAATATCGGTTATCTTTCGTAAACACCGTCTACTTATTTAGTCATTGAACACTAAAATCGTACAGAAATAATTACTACGTATTCTTGCGAAAGTGCTGTAAAATTCGGAGTTTCTTCTCTTTGTATTCTGTTACGTTGAATTCCAATTATGTTGAAACCATTTGGCTCTTGGCAGCTCTCGGATACTAAAGATTGCATTCAAAGAGGAGAATGTTACTCCGATTACTATGGAGGATTCATTGAAATGCGGAGGTCATGCGTGGCACAGTTCCCGCGGCCGAAATGCAGTTCGAAAAAGATCGATATCGGATTCGGAAGCGATGAAAGGGAAATTACACGGGCCGCGTAATTAGCGTGCGGCCGCTATCGGAGAGGAAGTCCGCGTCTCTCCTTCGTCTGAGAGAGTCCGCGATCCGAGCAGGAAACAATGAGGCCGATAAGACCGCTCTCTTTATCCCTCTCTCACTTCCTCTCTCTCTCACTCTCTCCCTCTCTCTCTCGTAGCCGGCCGTTTCGTTGACGCACGCGTAAAGCCTATCTCTCGTACGCTCGAATTTCTATACTAGCACATAGGACCGTCTATCCTCATACACGTGTTCCGCCCCGATAAGATAAAAGGTGACACATTTTTTCGAGAGCAAGAAACGATCCGTTTCGTATGCTCTCTGTATCTATTAAAAAATCTATATCGCGTGCGGCGGGCCCACGGAAGAACGCTGGCAACGCCGCACTGCTCTGACAACGCCGCGCTCTTATCGAAAAATACAAATCGTCGATTACGCTCAATGGACGTCTAATTTGATGGTGCCGCGAGTTCTTTCCTATTCCAGCATGAAATTACGATTTTATTCAGTGATAATTACACCTTGGAAAAATCATCACGTGGGAAATCACGTTCTTCGAGAAGTTTCCATGATCCATAGAGATCTAGACTTTCGCGTGATCTAGACTGCGGATCTTTGTGCAAAATAAACTAATTCCAAGCGAATCGCCAGAATTAGACATGAAACAAAACTGAATGATTTTAATAACTCGAGAACAGTAACAACATCGTTATATTCCTCTAACGCCTTCCGCAGTTTTGTATTTCACTTATTCATTTTTAGCTTGAACGCATAAAATAAGCAGTCTTACTAATAACGTAATAGAAACGATAACAGTGTTATAAGAGAGCTGGCCTCTAGAATTACTTTCAGAGGAAATCGACAGTCCATCTGTTACAGTAAGAACCCCAAAGACAGTAAAAACCGACTTAAAACCGTCTCTTCCTTAAGATATTTAAAAATGACATAGAAAAACGACTGTGTAGCTGGAGCATGAAATGAGTCTCAAAGCTTGCGTGTACAAATGCAAAAGTGTTCAATTTCGCCGGTCACGATCGCCCGACGCTATAAAAGAACACATGCAAACGAAGGAGCGAGGAGCAAAATTGCGGGTTTGTGTGTGTGTGTTCGTTTGCATCGAATTCGGGGTCTGCCAATGGTCCACAGCCCGGAGATCTGCCAACTTCCGCGTTCGCTTTTGTGCGTATAAACCTGAACGGGTTCCCCTGAAAAAGAACGCGTTCCTCCGCCAATGCGTCCGGACGGACGTGCGTGTACACACCACGTGTCCTACCCTCGCGTGACTCGGTACCGGGAGCACGTGGCCCCCCACCACATGTCCCTGGGGTCCGCCGATCGCTCCCGGAGAAAAACACGGGGAAAAGATAGATCCTAGAAGGGCGAGGGGAAGAGATATAGAGGCAGAGGGAGGAACGCTCTGGAAGAAGACGATCGAAATCGGTGAGAAAACGATGGCGAGGCTCCATCGAGGGGAGGAGCACGGCTACGTCGAGGGTGAGATCAAGTAAGACGAAGGTTCGGGACGACCAAGACACAGGGGGCAGCTAAAAGGGGAAGCTGAGGCACCTACAAAGGCGATGCAAATTATTCAAATTAGAACAACATTTTGTTCCTGCTGTCTTTACCCTTCTTCCGATCGATTATGCGTATACATATGCGGGCAACATGGGGGTGTGAGCTAACGCTGGATCCATTTCTAAAAAGATTCGGATTTGTATTTGCAATTAGAGATGATCTTTTGCTTGCCAGTTCCAGATTTTGGTCTGGATTCGAAAAAACGTTTGAAAAGATGGTCTTTCAGTACTAAACATCTTCGTTTCATGAAAGTGTACATGAAAGAACAGCGAACTCATATGTTTATTATTAGACATTTTTCGTTGTATTATATTCTTTTCATTAACACTAAACCTACCAAGCAGTAATACTAACTGGCATGTACTACTTCACGAAAGTTAGAAGACCGAATTTATTTAGAATTTGTAAAGTTTTTTGTTATTAGACATTTTTCGTTGTATTATATTTTTTCCATTAACACTAAACCTACCAAGCAGTAATACTAACTAGCATGTACTGCTTCACAAAAGTGAGAACACCGAATTTATTTAGAATTTGTAAAGTTTTTATTATAAAACTTGCTCCAATAATATAACTTATTCAAGCGTTTTCCACGAAAGAGTCTCGGAACTTTGCAGAATTGCAAAATAAAAAAGCGGTCACTTTGACTGCGGTAGGTTTAGTGTTAAAGATTCTTTAATTATTTTAGAAGGTGTTAAAGACATTTAATAAGACCATAGGTTTGACAAATTCCAAATGGATAATACAGAGAAATTACTTAAATGCCCTTAAAAGGCATGAAAATTAACCAAAAATAGCAGTCTAACCGAAACAATTACCCATATCTTCTATCGCACGGGCTTATCTAAATGGTCCCGCTTCGTAAAATGAATTTGTGGACGTGACGTATTTCAAACATTTAAATTTCCAATTAAATCATCGACTCTATGTACGTGGACAGGAAAAGAGTTTACGAGGCGTAGCATGCGCAAGAAATGGAAAATAGACGATAAAGTCCTTGTGCAGTTTGTTACTTCCACCGAAGACAACGTCGATGCAACTACGTGTACAGGGTGCCTCAAAATTATGTTATTTCCGGGAAATGAGAGGCTCTTGAGCTCATTTCAAGCAACTTTTTCCTTCGCGAAAATGCAATCCGTGGTTTTATTTACGAATTATTAACGAGAAACAGTGACCAATCAGAGACGAGATTAGCTGGCGCTAGGCGGCCAACCTCTGAGCTTCGACCTCTCGTTGGCTCGGCCGCCTCGTGCCAGCCGAGCTCGCCTCTCATTGGTCAGTGTCCTTCGCTAATAACTCGTAAATAAACAGCTCGAATTACATTCCGCCTAAGAAAACAGTTACTTCGAATGACCTGAGTTGCCCCTCATTTCCCGGAAGTAACATGATATTAAGGCATCCTGTATGTAGGTATAATATTTTCTTTGTGCGAATCATTTCGGTACCAAGAATAGCCTTTCGCGATATCATGGTCTAGATAGGCGGTTATCTAGCGAGACAGCCTCTGTCGATTTTTTGTTCCGGGTGTACTAATCGAATCTTGATTTCGACCGGCGGCAAACAAATCGTCAGGCGGTGCTATGACATCGACCACCTCCACGATGCTACGTACGCTATTACAAATTGCGCTACGCTCGCTGGAAACCGAAGATAAATGGATCCCCATCCCCTGCCACGGAATCTTCCACTTATCATAGCCAGTGGCGCAACGACACACGAAAAATATCGCGTTTCGTGCACGCTATCCGACCGATGTGTACAACATATGTATGTATGTATCGCAAAGGCAGACCGTCGGACAACGACGAATATTCAATAATTTATCGAGCGCTCGATCGGCTTTCGAATGTTCCGATCTACCGAACATGAATCTTCAGTCCTGCCTGTTAAATGTTTGAAGGCCGCCGTTCAAGGTCGAGCAAGGTCGTCCATAACGAAGCACTGCCTTCGTTAGCTTCCAAACTACTACCTTGGTCTACTATTTGGTCTATTACCTTCCTGGTCTGTGATTTATTGTTACAACATTTCCATTTATTTATTGCCGCATTGCTCGTCTTTGCGCGAAATAAAACTAAAATTAAATTTAAAGTTAATTAAATTAAATTAACCAGAGATTGAAAACTGTTATGATATCGGTATCGGTTCCCGGAACAGTTGTCGAGAATCGAGAAAGTCTCGTAACTGGTACAAACTGCATAATATCGGCTACGATTCCTCGCATCTGCTACTATTTTTTCGATTTCGGTAATACGAAGTACTACAAAGATGTGATCGTGTCGCGCGAATTTTCCGCTTAAATGTAGAATCCATACTTTGAATACCAGAAGAAGATACAATGTTTTTATTGCATATAATAGAACTATTGGGTTGTCCGGAAAGTTCGTGCCGATTTTCGGTAGGTAGCGTGAGAGACCTGACTGAATATATCACAACTATTGTGAATACAAATGACACGTGTACATATTCTAAAAGAGATAACTTCAGCCATATTTGGAAAAAAGTTTGGTTACGATTCCTTAATTTCTCAGTTTTGTACGCCTTAGAATATGGTGGCAAATAAAGTGCATTATAGGCATTTAATGCTTTTATTTTTCCGAAAGGGCAAAAATGCCACACAAGCGGCATATAAGATATGCGCTGTTTATGGCGAGGATGCTGTAGCCGAAAGAACTGTGCGGAAGTGGTTTGCTCGGTTTAAAGCTAGAAATTTCGACCTTGAAGATCAAGGACAAGAAATTTTTTGCCAGAAAACCTGAGAGGTTCTGGAAGAACGGAATTCTCAAGCCGCATGAAAGATGGAGAAAGGTTGTGGAACAGAATGGTACCTATATAATTTAATAAATGTATACCAATATTTAAATGAGCTGCGTTTTAATTTTCCTAAAAAATCGGCACGAACTTTCCGGACAACCCAATACATCCGAAAAATAACAGTTGCCAATTAATAACATAAATAGAAATTAACGTAGAACCAATGTAATATCGGTTCTAAATGAGCAAAACCAAAGCCAATATGTACAAGCCAGAACCGACATACATACTTTGTAACAGTTACGAGATTCATTCGGTTCCTCGTAACCGTTTTAGCTCCAATCGACAGGTAACGGTTTACAACCGCATAATGGTCTGAACTTCTTCGATGCTCGGTTTTAATCGAATGCAAACAAAATATATTAACGGGAGTACGAACAGCTATCGATTTAACGGCTCCGCCATTGACCGACCGGTGACCATCGAATTATTATTGAACGGACGACCGACCGGTCGTCATTACATCGGCTACCGACACCATTATCGAACGTGACATCGATTGACCCGTTCTAATTACAATATTCTTACGCGTTGCGAAACATGTCTGCAGCGGACAGTTCCATCAAAAGGCCTGCGTCACGATCGTCGATCGGGGATGGATCGGATCGGGAATTGATCGGCGGCTCGGGGGTCGGATCAGAGACGGGACACGATTCTACGCGGATCTACGAGGCCTACGGGTTCACGCAGATTTATCAACGAAACGTCGCTGGCTCAAGGAAGCCGTCATGTATCGACGAGAGCACCTTGGGATTCTTGTTACTCGGTTCGCTCCTTGGTTACACAACCGGCTCTCCCGCCAACTCGGCCAACTATCGACCCCACCAGCTTCTCGCTGCCCCCTTTTTCTTCCGTCTTTTCTCTCTCTCTCTCTCTCTCTCTCTCTCTCTCTCTCTCTTCGCCTCTCCCTGCCTTTCTATCCGATGTGCTCCCCTCAGCCTCTTTTATTCCAACCCCATCTCTCTGTGTTCCTTCCTTTCTCTTTTGACAACCTCCGTCCTTCCACTCTTTTCTGTCGGCCGCTTGTCCTTTCTCTGCGGGCCTAACCCTACGTGTCACTCCACCGGAGCCTGGACCTTCTACGCTTCGTCTAAAGGACCTTCTAACGTTCGCTAGCATGAATGTTAACCTGTTGACCGGGTGGTTTCGGGGATGCTGAATAAATCTCGAGGCTTCAAGGGTGGAAGAAGGACAACGGTTGAACGCGGAAGAGAAGATATAATCCGTCGGGCCCGGAGACAGGTCCATCTTGGGACACGGTATACGCTTTTACGCTGTACTATGTTTGATTTTCCTTTAAATTGCTCCAATATGGTCCAGTTTTGTTAACAGGCTCCGTTAGGCTGTACGTTATAAGCGAATCCAACCGAGGTAGCCATTTACTTCATCTTTCCAGTCAAGTAATTCTTATGACACCGCGGATTTGATATATTTGTGACAAAAATGAGTAGATCGAATTTAGAACGGTAAAAATACTAAAATCGACTTGTTACAACGATTAAAAAACGAAATAAATATCCATGTAGCTCCTGTGTCTTGAAATTTGTCGGGACAATTTCGATTTTGCATAAAAATCGGCAGTCTATTTATGACCTTGGAATGCAGAAGTAAATGGCGGAAATGTTTTAATTTCAAAGAATTCTAAACTAAAATTTGTAAAAATACTAAAATCGACTTGTTATAACGATTAAAAAACAAAATAAATATCTATCTAGCTCCTGTGTCTTGAAATTTGTCGCGACAATTTTGATTTTGCATAAAAATCGGAAGTTTACTAATGACCTTGGGATGCAGAAGTAAATGGCGGAAATGTTTTACTTTGAAAGAATTCTAAACTAAAATTTGTAAAAATACTAAAATCGACTTGTTATAACGATTAAAAAACAAAATAAATATCTATCTAGCTCCTGTGTCTTGAAATTTGTCGCGACAATTTTGATTTTGCATAAAAATCGGAAGTTTACTAATGACCTTGGGATGCAGAAGTAAATGGCGGAAATGTTTTACTTTGAAAGAATTCTAAACTAAAATTTGTAAAAATACTAAAATCGACTTGTTATAACGATTAAAAAACAAAATAAATATCTATCTAGCTCCTGTGTCTTGAATTTTGTCGGGACAATTTCGATTTTGCATAAAAATCGGCAGTCTACTTATGACCTTGGAATGCAGAAGTAAATGGCGGAAATGTTTTACTTTCAAAGAATTCTAAACTAAAATTTGTAAAAATACTAAAACCGACTTGTTATAATGATTAAAAAACGAAATAAATATCTATCTAGCTCCTGTGTCTTGAAATTTGTCGGGACAATTTCGATTTTGCATAAAAATCGGCAGTCTACTTATGACCTTGGAATGAAGAAGTAAATGGCGGAAATGTTTTACTTTCAAAGAATTTAAAACCAAAATTTGTGCGAAAAATGCGGTGTCCGGAGCTCTGTTCAAAAGTGAAAGATTAATTGAAAATGTCGTTCGCATCTCGAACGCGATGTCCTAATGACAGTGAAGGTTCGTCAGGGACCAACTTAGACGTAGCTTCCACGAATCGTGGAAGGCCTCAGGATTGAGAAACCGCGCGGTTAGGTAAGTAGAGCGCTGCCAAAAGCTGGTTCGCTTTTCCGTCACACCTAACTGTGTTCCCCGACAGAAGCGTTTTATAATCTGCTAATTAACGAGTCCGCTTCTCGATAATTGTCTGCAACGCGCGAGTCCGGATCGCAACGCCGCGTGTTGTCCCCGTCGTCCTCGTCGGCGTGATTTACGTCACGAGTAAATATGCGAGAGCATTATTATCCAGACGACATGCTACAGTTTATCGTCTCGGCGAGATCTCAGACTTCCCGTATCGCCTGACTGTTTCCTGACACGCGGTCAGGCCACGTGACCGAATAATACTTTTCACCCACGAGCCGCCTTGGGTCGCTTTCAGAGTCTTATCGGTGCTCGACAAAAGTTAGGGGCTTGCGACAGAAATTTCCCCCCGTCGGGTTCGAAACTCTTCGAGAAGACCCACCCGGCTCCCGGCGGACAGTTCTTGCCGCGACAACTTCTGTCGCGGCTTTCAATCCCCTTCTCAACGATTTTGCATTTTATGCTAGAGAAATATTGCAGATTAAGGGGATCCACGAAGATCAGCTCTGAAAACTCTTCGACGACGGGAATACAGGGAAAACTGAATTCCCGCTGCTCTCGCCTTTCGATCCGGTTTCGAACGATTTTGCATTTTATGCCAGCAAAATATTGCGCATCCGCCGACAACAGCTTCGATTTTTTTAAAGCGAAAGAGCCTCTCTCTGCGAATTCGCTTCGGTATACGCAGCACAAAGCAGGAGTTAGCTCGCTCGAGCAGGAACGCGCGAAGATTCTCCGAATCTCTGCGGAAGATTGCGAAAACGCCGACCCGGGGCGCGAAAGAGGAGTCGCAGGGGGAAAGAGCTGAATCAAAAGAATCGCTCTGGCTGGGGCTGACTTGTTAGCGTAAAACGAAATACGATTCCGGGCCGCGGGAGAGGGGAGAGGGGCGAATCGGTGAATCGGCGAACCGGCCGAACACCAACGGAAAAGCAAAAGAGAACGCGGTCGCGAAAGGACGGAAGAGGAAGAGAGCGAGCGAGGCTAAAGGCTCGCGCGAATCGCTGCTTACGTAAGTACAAGTACAGATAAGAACGTGCTTATCTGAAGAACCCTAGCTTGCGAGCCGGCTCGAACGAGCCGAAAGTGCGCAAGCGAAATCAACATGGCGGGACAACATTTTTTTCGAAGTTTTCTGCACGATGCCGACGACGAATCGGTGAACAGCGAGCCAGGATCCCACTTGTTCGTGAAAATAATTATTTTTACGTTATTTGCAGATTTATATAACGACGTAAAAACCTGGGTGACCTTGAATTATTTCTAAACAAAATTTTCTGAAACTGCGAGCATTGTGATATTTATGAATGAGATAAAAACTACTTTCGACACAGATAAATAATAAAAATACAATTACCAATATGCATGAAGTTGTTTTGCGCAATTGTTATTTGATGATTTATAATAAATACTTATAAAAATTCATTTCACACTTCGAATTTCAGAATTTTCGCTTCGGCATATTGTACGCAATCGCACAATCGTCTAAAACGAATAATATTTTGGATTTAATGACTTTAAAGTAGTTTGTAAGTAAAAAAACTTTCTGCAAACCATTAAACTTGACGATGACGATGACGACAACTGTACGACGACAGTCGTTTGCCTCTTCTAGATGAAATAATTTTCCATTCGTACCTCGTGCCAGTTTGACACACTTCTTACTGGTTCTGAAGAAGTAATATGTCCTTAACTTCGTTTAATTAGCTACAAACGACACTATTAATCCCATTTCAAACTCATTTAGTTTCATCATAACTTCTCGTGTTCAAAAGGGGGATTCGTAAAGCTAACCGATTGATCTCTCTATAATAATTATTTTTTCTCGTCCTTGTACCAATTCCTTACCAAGAAACAAATTAAGTTGGGAAAATGGGAGACGGTTGAAGATTAATAATCTGAAATGTGAACGCGGCGATAATAATTAAAGCTGCGTCTCTACAATTTGAAGGTGAAACGAGTCCGAGGTCTTTGACAAGGTAAAGAGGAAGCGCTTCTATCGGTGACTCAACGGCTGCTTCAAAGGCCGCAATTCTACGGCAGCGTTTTACTTCGTTTCGTCCCACCTACAACGCAGTCCGCGGTCCCAGCAGGCACCGGCTCGTAGACGTTTTAATTTAGCACGTAATTGGTGGCCTTGTCTGTCAATTTTCATTCATAAACGTAGAATGGAACACGAAACGATGAAACGAAAGGACAGCTTCGCGGCTGCGAGAATTAACGCGAGAGACCGCCGTGTGCTTGTGTGTTCGCTTGGAATTGCAAAGCCGGCTGAACTATGAACCCGAACTGTGTTTGCCAGCGGGGAAAGGGAGTATACCATAGTCCCGGCGATGAACGCGCGATTCGCGGAAAAATTTGTCTTCCCGCGATAAGTATCGGGAGCCGGTCGAGCGGAACAATAGAACGAGTTCGTAAAAACGATTACGTATTCTCGCGTTGCACACAGGTGCATCGGGGATAAGTACCGAGAGGTGAGCGTGGCCGCGACCACGCTGGTCGACGGCGGTGATAATCGCGAAATTCGTTTTCCTCTCCACGCATCTACGTCGCCGATGCTGTTTCATTCGGCGTTATTGTTGACGCTCGATGAGCAACGGCTCGTCGGTGGCGTGTTATGCAACCAGCAACAAGCTAGGCGAAACGATGACTTGGTCGCGGCTCTCGGTTTCAGCTGGTCTGTTCAAATAATCCTGTGAAAAAGGTGGGCACGTCGTTATACCAACGACAATTTTACGCTTTACCTTATGACCGGCGTTAATGAGTTCTCAGTCGGACTATTAACTCGTTCGCTGGCGTGTCGCTCGTAATTGGGTGACACAATTCCCTGGCCAGGTTTAAGCTTCGTTTTTCTTGTGACAAGCTCGAGCTGACTCTAGTAATCGCAGTGCAGAACGATTCGTTAACGTAACCGTCGAGTAATCGTCTCGATAGAGAGATAGAAACGATTTTATGTACAAAGTAAGGAGGTACAATGGAAATTTGAAGGTGGTTCTAGATAATTGAGCGCGTGAAAAATGAGCCAACTAAGAAAATGCATTAAACATCTTGACGGTGCAGAAAAATGCATTCGCGGCGCCCAGACCTTTTCAACTTTAAATGTGTTACTTGTGTTCGTCGTCGGCGGTGTTAGCGGACCGGAAACGCCACTTGTTAGGTGATTCGCCTAACGCCTCCCATGGTCCCGCAAAATTATGTAAGTTCGTTCGCCTCGCCGAAAAATTCGCGAGAGGCGCTGCGGTCGGCCGGTTCCTCTCGCCGAAAGGAATTAACTTCAAGGTCTTCTGCGTAACTGGCAATAATCGTTGCCCTGAAATTCTCAATTTGTCGGCCTCCCTCTGCAACGCCTCGCGTCCCGTTCGCCAAAAATACGCGCCGGCTAAAGTCGTCGTTGTCGTCGGCGTCGACGTCGTCGTCGCCGACGTCGCGTCGGTGCAACGCGATGCAACGCGTCAGCCGGCCGTAGCGGGCAAATGAAAAATCAGGCTGGGTCATCGGTGCGTCATCTGGCTTTTTGTGAGGTTAGACGCACTGTGTTGCAGTGCCAACCGCCGGTGGCATGACTTTTCTTATGCAGATGTCGAGCGCAGTTTCCTCGTGCTGTTGCGTAAAGACGCCATTTTGATGCCTGACCTTTGTCCGCTGGGCTCGGTCCGACCCGGGCTTGGCGAAGCATTTTTCTCGTTCGTAAAATTAAGCTCGCAGTTGCTTTTATCAGGTTTGGGTTGGTCGCTCGGGCATACGAAATTGATTGACCCAATTGTGCGATATCAAAGCGCTGGAGACCTTCCAAACTTAGACCTTATCGTCGCGGAGGCAGCAAATCCAAAAGAATAAGAACCGTATGTTCGTCAAGCGTTCGATCAGCCAACGATTTATCAGAACATAGTCTGCCTATTTCAATAGTTCAGACATATTACGAATGCTTACAGCACTAGGAACGGAGGGATCGCAGGGATATATCCGTTTCATTTGTACGTCGATAGCACCCTTGGGAGCCCGAAATTTCCTCGTGATCTCAATAGATCATTCCGCTCGTTCTTAAAAAGTCTGGGAGGCTGCAATTGCGCACAATGAACTGCCAGCATCTGTAACCCTACTATCTAGAGAGGCTACAGGGATCGATGAGTAAGCTTGTTTGCATCTACCAAGCTATTAATGTACAAGGATCCGCAGTGACCACTCATTAGCCAGCCGATATAGCTGACCCACAAAATTGGCAGAAGATAAAACCTGGCCGGTTATATTTAGACGGCACTCGTACTTCCGAAAGGACTCTCGACTCCATTGCACAATCGTGTGTGTATCTGTGTGTGTGTGTGTGAGCAGACGCGATATCGTCTATCGGCTCGGATGATCCAGACCATGAAGGCCCCGTCATCTAGCATCTTTGAAAAATAGTCTCCGTGACACGAACTCCCGATGGAAGACGGGAAGAAATAGGCCGCTTCTCGCGGCTCGAC